TGGTAGAACTGGCGAAAAGGATTCAAATGTCCGATAGCCTCAGTTCGGCAAAGATTTATTCAAAATAATTCTAGGGAAAACTAAAGTTTCTTTTTTTCTTTTCTTTCTTTCTTTCTTTCTTTCTTTATTTTTTTTGGCTTAATTTTAAATACTCTAGATTAACTTTCTAAAATCAAAATTTTGTACAGTCTTCCAAAAATATTTTTATATAATATACAGTTTGTATTTTTTTATGATTTTGGCACTACCATCCACTTAGTACTAACAAATGACTTAGGTGAGCAGGTCACATGTTACAGGCACCAGGACATAATCCGATCCTGTGTGTAATTTGTAAAAAACGTTGATACCAATTATGGCTAGCATTTCGAGGGTGATAAGTCGGAGTACGATAAGCACTCCAGTAGCAGAGAAAAACCTCAAGTGAAGTTAGACACTTTCGATGAGTTAGTAAGATGTTGAATATTCGTTAATCAACCGCCAAGAAAACCAGATGTAAGGAGTTGTGTAAGCATAGTAGTGGCGTCAGAAACAGAAAAGTCTCTGATAGGCTGAAAGTAAGGGAGTTATCAAAAAAATACCCTTGGACAGGCAGGAGGAGGGAAGAATTGCACAGAAATACATGACAAATTAAACTTAAAGAAAAAGTAGCAACTAGTCAGCCAAACATTAACGAAAATAGGGGAAAGTTAAAAACAGAAAGCACAAATTAGATTTTTTAAACAAGAAAACAAAAGAAAATTAATCTAAGTAACGGTGCACCATAGGCCAAAAATTTCTTTTCATCTAGCTTTATTTTCTATATTTTACAGCTGATTTTAGAGAAGGCATTTTTAAAAGCGCGGATTCTCTTATACGTGAGTTTTTAAATAAATGTATTCGAAAATATTTTGGAAATTTCCAGTAATTTCAGAAGGCTAGACGGAAAAACCTATAAACCACATGCATAATTAAAAAAAAAATAGTTATATTACGAAAGCATATATTTAGGTATTAATCGATTTTATAATTTACTACCATGAAATGTGTACAATTATGATATAAGAAGTAAAGATTTTCTACATATATGCACTGCAGATTTCACATAGTGATATTTACATTGAGACAAGTATACGGGGCATAAAAAAAACTTTTTGGATATATGAATATCTAGCGGCCTATCCACTCAACCAATCGAAATGAAATTTCAGATAGTATTATTTGAATGTAGGCTCTCGAGATTGTGATGATTTAAAACAGTAGAGCTCTCACGTTTAGGATCACAGTAAAAACATTTCGAAATTTTTGAATGGCAGCGCACATTTTTTTTTCCTGCCGAAATTGATCAGCGCATCGAAAAGACATACATGGCGTTGGAATGATATCTATACTGGTGTAAGAAATTAAGAGAATTTTCATATTTTATCTACGATCTCCAGAGCTACTGGACAGATTTGAATAAAATTTGATGTGAACATAGGTTGATATAATACAAACAAAATAAACATTCAACAGTTATAATAGACACACATGTTCGTGTGTAACACTCATGGGAGTCTGAAGATCTGAAACAGACACAAAAGAAATGGATTAATAGGGAATATGGTCCCCTCTTACAGCCATACAGGAATCGCAGTGGGATGTCACAGTGGAAATAAGTTTATCAGTGCCTGTGGCAATTGGTTCCACTCATTCAGCGACGCTGTTTACAGTTTCTGGATGGTTATCAAAGGGGGTTGTGAGTTGCAATTTGCCTCCCCAGAGCGTCCCAGACATGCTCTATAGGGTTGAAGTCTGGAGACCTGGCTGGCCAATCCATCCGGCGAATATCCTCTCTGGAGAAATTCATCAACCAGAAGAGCTCTATGTGGCCTCGCATTATCGTCCTGTAAGATGAACTCGGAGTTCACTGCATCCCGGAAAAGGCGAACACAGGGCTTCAAGACCTCATCCCTATACCTCACACTAGTAACAGAGCCTCTGTCAAAGACGTGGAGAGGTGTGCGGCCATCCAACATGATGCCTGACCAGACCATTACACCGCCACCGCCATAACTGCTGATTTCGCGGACACTAGAGGATAGGTAGCGGGTCCCTGGCTCTCTCAATATGAAAGTACGGCAAGAATCAGGGTTAGGGTAAAACGGAACTCGGCGGTGAACAGAACGGTCGCCCATTGCTCCGTACTCAATCATTATTAGCCTATACCATTCTGTTCATAGACGGGAGCGGGACGCAAACAGCCTGTCTTCTGGCAAACAACCTTCTCTCATTCAGTCTTTTGGAAACAGTCACCCTTGTTACACGGGTTCCTTTGGCTGCATACAGGTCCCGAGAGAGCTGAAAAGCTGTAGACCCTCTGTTACGCCTCGCTAAAATGGACAAATAGCGATCTTCTCTGACCGTAGTGGCTCTTGCCCAGACTTTTTCTCTATGGATCCGGTATCCTGGAACTGTTTCATAGGTTACACACGACGCCGGGCGTTAAATTAAACGCTCTGCATATCTGTACTTGCGATTGACCTGCCTCTAGCCTCGTCACAATCCGCCACCTCATTCCATCATCTAAACATTGGCGGATACTCATTTTTACTGTTCCGATGTCAATTTAACCGATTGCTGCAATATAACACCAAGAAATTCGCCGAGATGTGCTAGCGAACGCAATTCGTCTTACCCTCCACGCGCTTATAAAGCCTGTTTTTCTGCTGGCTCTGCCTACACACATGTATACGCTTACGTATTTGTCGTACAAGATTTGAATTTTTATCTAGAAGCAGTGGTTTTCCCTTCAGTTCAGTTCTTTTCAGGCAATTCGATTAAATATGCAAATTCTGTTAATTTCTTTCACTAGTGTATATGACGGAAATTGCCGGCGTAAATTATTTGCAAAGAAGACCATCGTAAAGAACCAATGGCAACACGAGAGAAGAGAGGGAAAAAAACTTTTATTTCAAGTTTACAACGTGCCTACCTTCACAGAAGGTAACACATGGCATGCGGGAGATTGTTGACAACAGTCAGTACAGTAGGAATCTGTACAACCTCGGGTTTAAGGGCATCTTTCAGTTCTAAAATATCTTCAGAATTTGATGTGTGAGCACCTTAGATTTCAGACAATCCCAGAGCCAGAAACCCATCGGAATGAGGTTGGGGGATCTCGGCGGCCACGGAATTGCAAAGTTACGGATTCTATCTTGAAAATTTGTATACATTAAAAATTGATAATCCCAATAAATGGTTTTTTCCCCCGTTTCCTCTTTTGTATTGTCACTGATCCTTTATAGAGTTCTTCTCTGGAAATGTTTCTCACCGGCAATTTTTGTCATACGTGTAATGTTCCAACGGCATTTACAGTTTTTCAATGCGCTGATCATTTTGCGCCGGAAAAAAGGTGGGTGTTGCTATTTGAACATTTCGAAATTTGTTCACTGTAAACATAACCGTGAAAGCTTTATTGTTTTCAATCATCATAATCTTCAGATAACAATTCCTAAAATTTGATGTCAATCGGTTGAGCGAATAGGCTGCTAGGGTTTCATATATCGGGGAAGTTTTCTCATGACCATCCTACAAAGAACCGTCAAAATTATATATCAAATCACATTTGTATTTAATGGTCTGCAAAATATGTAGAGTATCTCAAAAGCTTGTTAAGAAACTTAATATGCTGGTTTGTCATACCATGACAAACAAGATTTACATAGGAACTTGTGTCCGAAAATGCGAAAGGCGGCCACTAGAGGGCAATGTTCGCAAGTGTAGAGGGAAAGAAAGAAAGGATGTCCAAAGAGGTATTAAAAAACTTTTATTAAAGAGCATAGTTAAATCATAGAAGATGTTCAAAATACTTTCCATTGATCTTAATGTATGCTTCACACCGTCGGAGCATTGATTCACGGACCCGTTCAAAATGGACAGGTTTGACACAGGCACAGGCAGCCGCATCCACTATCCTGGCGATGAGATCCATGTCCGATATTAAGATCAACTCGTACAACATAGAGTCCATGTATTTCCGCAGGTAGAAATACAAGGGAACCAGAATGGGAGATCTCGGTGGCCATTCGACTGATCCACTTCTACAAATCCAGCGATCAGGATATGTCCTATCGAGGTATTCCCGTACAAGTGCTGCTAAAATGTGCAGGGCTCCATTAAGCTGAAACCAGATGTTTCGGCTTATAGGTGCTGGTACGTCAACCTACACAGTTGGTACGCACGATCTGGCAACACTGTTTCCGCAAAATGTCCATAAAGAACTGAGTTAGTAAACCGATTCATCCTCTTCCTGCAACGTCCTCGCCTGAAATGATCACTCTTCCCACTCTCCCATAACCCTGCAAACATTGCCCTCTAGCGGTCGCCTTTCTCATTGTCGGAAGGAAGATCCTATGTAAATCTTGTTTGTCATGATATGACAGACCAGAATCTTAAGTTTGGCAACAACCATTTGAGACATCCTGTATATTGCTTATTCGTAACAATTTCGCAGCCATCTCATTTTCATAGTCTTACGATAAACTCGCGTTTTTTTAGTACTTGTTATGACACCATGTGTCGCTAATTATCTCCTTGATTTGATTCGATTTATAACATTATGGTAAAACACCAATAATGCAACTTTTTCAAAGGCTTTAAAGAAAAGACACCTTCGTGGATACGAGCCATGTTCCCTTAGACTTGTGTTTTATTGCCTTTTGTGAAACATCGTAAACCTCAAATAATATCATAACTCTTATGAGAAGTGGCACTAGTTATGCTGAACTTGCTTTCAAGAAGCAGAGAAAACTATGATAAATTTTAAATGAGTTAAATTGCTTAGTATGTACTGTAAATTGTTTTTCTAACGTAACAGTGTCTTAAGAGTATTATAATGAAATCATTTTAATAATTTGTATCAAAAATGTTTTTCATGTCATAAAATTAGTGGTTTCAGTACGATGTATGACTTGAATTAATGTGAATGTAGAATGAATTTGTTTTACTTCGTACTAAATATCTTCGGATTTTATTTACAGGTAAAGCTCGCGCATGATGTCGGTTGTGTAGCGCAAGACAAAGTCCTTAACCTGGCCTATACTATAGGCATATTCTGCGTAGGATTCAGTGCGTTCATCTGGGGATTCCTTATTGACAGACTTGGTCTCAGAATCATCAGACTTCTACTCAAGTATGTATCTTGTTTCCTTCTGTTTGTTTAACCTCAACCTGATATTTGAAAGAAACTCTCATGCATGTGTAATTTAGGGAACTACTCATTAAATCAAAACTTTTCAGCTGTTCTGGAAGTGATCATTTTCGCTTTTGACTGCCTAATAAAATTAAGCAAAGTCAATAAGTAAGTCGCAAAAAGCAAAACTGAAAACTATTTGTATTCTTAAACAGAATCTTCATAATTATTTATGTATGCACTTTTCCCATTGTTTTATCAATGATGCAATACCAATTGCATAAAATTCTTTGTGTTGCTCTCTCAGCCACATTCGGTCTTCAACAACCTCAAAGTATTTGCTTCGAAGATATTTTTTAGTTTATCAAATAGTTTTTTTATTTTATCATAATTTATGCTATTATTATATTGTGCAGTACAGTGTGGCCAAAATGTCCCTTTACATCTGCAAAAAATGTGTGTAACAATATAAAGATGGTAAGATAGTTTAAGGTTTGAACCTTCCTTTTCTTATCATGGATACGGCAATTATTGTGCTCCTCATGCGAATCTCAACGTAACTTTCCGAGAAGGAGAATAAATTCTGCGCGCTGGCCGATTCATCGACTTCTTTTTTTAATTGATGAAGAACAATAGCAGATACCAGCGACTTCATTTTGAAGGAGCGCTTAGTCATAAGTGTGTGGGTGCATGAACAAAGCTTAACAATGGAATATGACACAGGTGATGAATAGATTTCATGAATGGTTCGGTAAAGAGCCACCAAGTAATCAGATTTTTATAAAGTGGGAGAAGGAAGCTTTAAGCGGGGCTGACGGAAGAATACATCTTTGGTCCGTTCTTTTGAAGGTTCCATTTCACAGATTACTTTTATGAAGATGGTGAATGGTTAGCTTCTTCCACAGTTGCAGAAGTTGGGCATCAACGATACGGTTGTTTTCCAACACGATGGAACTCCTGCCCACTTCGCACTTACTGTTTCGTAGTGGATAGGACGTGTTTTTGTGACTTATCTCACTTGGCTGATAGCAACATCAGAACAAGGCCACGAAATTCATCGCGGCAAGAGCCTTGAGTACCATGCAGATGACAGTACGACGTTTCTCAGTTCCAAAATAATTTATGCAATTTAGATGGCGAGCACCCCGTGGGGACGGATTTAGTTATTGACTTCAGGGACAAAGCCCCTTTGGACTAATAATTTCACATGTAAAGGGACTTCTTGTCTACACTGTACCTTTCTCGGATCAGTTGCTATACTCTCCGTGCTGCTGAATCTGTTTCAATCGGAACAGGTTGTTCTCTTACGCTTCAAAATATAGTATTACGCTACCAACGTATCACGAACGCCAGAGATCAATAAACATATAAAATATCATATAAGTTTGAAAATATTTTTTATCTTAAATAACACATCACTCATATAAACAGCATTCTTTAATAAACCTACTACACGCACATAGTATTTTTAGCTCATTCTAGAAATTGCTTTGTTTCTACTTCCAAAAAACAAATCTAACAATAATTATTAGTGGCCAAAAAACATCAAGCAAATAAGATTAAACGAAAGTGCGTATAAAATACAAACTACACTTCAGATGAAATCCAACACAGGACATATACTTCAGTTTTCATTGCAAACTTTCGAACAACATTGAGAAAATTTCTCCATCCATTTGTGTCCGTCTTTACAGGAAACATTCCTTTATAAATATCTTTGGTACGAAATCATTTTACCTCTCCCCCCCAAAAAAAACAAGGAAAAACAAAACGTACAAAAGCACGCTTTTCCTGTCTTGTACAGGCTTCGAATTTCATCTGTATTTTAAAAATGACTACCCATGTGCAGCAGGCACTTAGTAACTAACGAAATGAATATCATGAACTAAAACGGTTCTGCCCCACCATGCATGAAAACTACTAACTGCTATTTTAAAACGCATCTTGCCAATTTATGACTTATGACTTGCTTATCATGACAATTTGTGACTTAAAGCAGATGATTTAATTTTATAATAATAATCAAGCAAACGAAATCCGTTTGCGTGATTCATCTGTTTCTTCCAATGCACATTAATGTAGAAATACTCCCTGAACCTGTCATTTAGAACATTTGATATTTTATTTAAGATAAGCTATGTTTTATACATAGCAAACATCGTATACATAGACCCCCCCCCCCCCCCCCCCCCCCCCCCCCCCCCCCCACCCCCCCCCCCCCCTCCCCCCCCCCCCCCCCCCCCCCCCCCCCCCCCCCCCACCCCACCCCCCCCTAGAAGGAATTGATTACATTGCCCCCCCATGGTTTTACTTATCCAAAGAACCCCCACCAACCCCCCCCCCCCCCCCCCCCCCCCCCACCCCCCCCCCCCCCCCCCCAGACCCCCCCCCCCCCCACCCGCCCCCCCCCCCCCCCCCCCCCCCCCCGCCCCCCCCCCCCCCCCCCCCCCCCCCCCCCCCCCCCCCCCCACCCCCCCCCCCCCCCCCCCCCCCCCCCCCCCCCGCAAGTGCCCAATTTATACCTGTAGATCTTATTACATACGTTGTTGAATTTGAATGAATATTTATATTTTTACAGCAAATACCGTTTTTTTGAATAGAGAGCATTATTTTAAGTCATTTAAACAATCTTATCGCATTTATAATTAATATGTTATTTAGTATAAATATAAATAATATATCTTGCTACTCTATCGCTATATTCAGTAAAATATGTTTCCTATGATCCGCAAATTTGTGTTTGTTAACTATTACCTTATTATTTTTATAACTTGTATCTTTACTGTTACTTCTATTTTCATCGGCTTCAACAAAGATGCGAATTAGTTAACAAGTGTAAAAGGAAATTTCTTGAAGTTAGGAAAGAGCTTTAGGAAGCAATTGCTTATTCTGTGGTGATTTTCGTCCAGCTGCTGTATTTATTTGAATCGGTTTTAGCCTCGCTAGCCCTAGCATGATTCGAAGCCCTGGGACAAAACTTAAAAATGGGCCTTGTCTTGTGAATATTGTTTAAGACTTACTTTGAATTTCGTATTCTGTATATTCCGCAAAAAGTGGAGATTATTTTGTTAACACACGATCAGGCAGCTTTTTTAATCTGAAGTAATAAAAAGGTTTATTTTATATTTTCTTTTAAGTTTAGCGTGATTTCTCTGGAAGAGTTAAGGTGAGGGGATAAGTCGCTTGACTGTATACACGGAACCAGAGATAATATCTCAGGTTAGGTTAAATTAATTGACATGCTTGAGAGGTATATCTGCCTACGGGGAGGGATGACTTCCTGGATAAATTTTTACTAGGAAATTCGAGTGTATGCATGTTACATACGTACAGGTATAGGTAGAAGTGGAAGGGAGAACATAATTTGACCACTTAAATCGCAATTTTGTGCGGCATGGTTTCACTCAAAACATACGGCAAGCTAACAATCCTCTCAAGAGGTCATGGAAAAAAATCATAAAAACAGCCATCCAATAGTGCGTTTGCCAGGATTAATTTCTAGGTTGTAATACAGTGTTGAGCAACGTTACTGATCGGCTGTTGGTGGGCATTAACATTTAAAACATTGGTTTCATGCAGATATGCTGAATATTTTTTTCACTTCCCGCCAGTATATATACACAGGTAAGAGGTTGTGTTTGAGTCCAAAAATTCGATAGAAAGTTTTCAGTGAATAGCACGAATTAGTGTCCCCGTCCAATACGTTTTTACTGTTTTCACGATGATGTATGTCTGTCTGTGACTATCTCTTTGTTCCCAATAATATCAAACTTCCAAAAATTTCCATTTTCTGTATTTAAGCTTTCTGCATTCGTATAAAAAGTTCATTAGGTTTTGAGTAAAACTGAGCAACCGGAAATAGTACTGTATTTGGAACCAGTAACATTTTTTAATGAAAATAATATTAAAATAACTAAAACTTTTCAGTTTTAATATTTGAGACTGTTATATCAATAGGAGCAACATATTTGGTTAAAAGGGATAAAACGGAAGTGATACTTTGAAGCTCTTAACACATTTTTAGAAAAAAAAAATATTATGATATAATTCAAAAGCTCTCATATTTAGTGTTTAAAACTTTTATACGCATATACAATCATGATTGAAACAGCATGTTAGATTTTGGCTATATTTAATAAACCCGAAGTGGTACTTTACTTGAAACTCTTTACAGATTTAGCAGATAGAATCACTATGAGTCTAATCTAAAATAATGCAGCTCATATTAAGGCTATTTCTATGATATCTAGACCTAATATTTATTTATATCAAGCCACGGTAGAAAATGATTTTTATAACAGCATTTCATTTACAGAAATTCACAACTCTTGTAATTTAAGCATGTTACCAAAAAATGCGCTGTTCAAGATGACGAGACATAAGAGCAAATAGCAGGTTCAAAACCGCCTGTAGTTTTACTTAATACGGATCCTAGAACTCATGGTTGTCACTATTCAGCTGCCATTCCAAAAGCTAACAGGCCCCACCAGACGCCGAGTAGTAAAGTCGCTGAATACTGGTAGTTTGGTCTGGGGTTCAAATCCTCGCGAATGGGCTAGATGCATGGCCATTTTCATGCTTTTTTCCCCAGGTGTGATATGTATACAAGCCAGCTTCCCTTACAAAGTCGTCGCCCACAAAGGCATCCCTCCCCATAGGCAGATAGCCCTCGAATACTTTGCCATAATCGAATAAAGTAACTAATCAAATCAACAAAGCTATCAATGAACAAAGCTAACAAGCATTGTTGATTGATAATTAAATAACGGGGGAATATACGTGCAGATAAAAAGGAATTTAGGGTTATTGAAATAGAATAGATAATACTATAGGAAAAAGATAGAAGAAAATATAATTATGTATTCATTGCGAAGTATTTAGTTTAAATGCGTAATTTTTTTAAACTGTTGAAAATGAAAGGCCAAACATGGTAAAAACCACAAAAGCATTTATGCAGCCAGCCCGTTGACCAGGATTTGAAGCTGGGTAAAACTACCAGT